ACAGCACTCCCTCTCTCCCTACCTCCCTCTCCATATGCACTATACCACAGCAGCTCAGAGTAAAGTGTCAGCAGCAGCAGCAGCAGCAGGAAGACAAAAAGAAGAAGAAGAAGAAGAAGAAGATGTGAACTGTACTGTATTGCCAATGCAAGAGAGAGAGAAAGACAGGAGGAACGTGAAGGAGAGAGAGTGCTGGTGCAAAAATGGCAGAGCCGCAATCATTCTGCCTCACGCCGCACACGCACAGCTTACGTTTCATGTCGTTTTTTTTTAAATCAAAATGCATCACTTTTTTCGAGCGCGTCTCAAAACGGCGCGTGTTCAAAAGAGCGCGAGCAACAAAAAGAACAGGGTGAATAAATATCAATCAAAGAGTTTTCAAGATTCACACAAATATGGCACACAAGTTAAGCTGTGATTAGAATAGCATCAAAGCACAGAAAAATATGTGCTGTACATATATTCTCTGTTAACAGGAAAAAAGGAACTAGATGAAATTTGTGCTTCAGAACACAATTATAATTACACTTTAGGGCATTTTAGCCCAGTAATATTGTTTTTTTTCAATTTTTAGCAGGTAATTATGGAACTTTAGTTGGGGTGCATTTTCTTCTTCAAGGAGACATATGTCACCAGACTATCAAATGGCTCAGTCAGACCTTCCAAAACATATATTTTGCATCATATTTTATACCCTGAATTTAGTGAAATGTAATGCCATACTTGGATAAGATATAAATAGTAAGATGTATCTCACTGCTCACCCCCTATATTCAGTGATAGCCGAGGAATTGCATACAGTCAATTCCTGCACAATGGACTTCATCTGTGCAACAGACTAGTCTGTTGTGTGAAAAGCCCTTTAAGCAAATTAAATTATCTTTTTTTTACTTTTTACCATTCATTTAAAACCATCAGAAGTTTGTTAGGTGGATTTAGTCTGTTGCACAGGCAGTCTTTTGTGCAAAAAACCATTGTGCATGAGGTTCATTGTCTAGGGGTGGACTGTAATTTCAAATGGTAGCATATGGTACAGTATTTTCAAAACTTTGCAAGAGGTTGTAGGCTCTTGGTGTCTGGAAAATTGTCATATTCTCAACAATCTAATCATTCAAATGAAACCAGTTTAGTTGTGTTTCACACAATAAATGAGTACCAAAATGTACCTACTGTATTTACTCAAGTACCATGCGCCCTTGAGTAAGGCCCGCACAGGGGTTTTTCAGTTTGAAATTTGGCTAAAATCTTATACCCAAGTAAGATGTGCACCCCAATTTTTAGTACATCTAAAACCCCAAAATTTTGAAAATAAATTCATAAATTTGACTTTAGTCATGAATTGAACAAAAATCGGATCAATTTTTGACTTTTTCAGTACAAAAAAGTTTTCTTGTTGCATTTGTTTGAAATTTCTCCATTATAATTAAGTATATAATGCACACATTACTTCCTAAGACTTCTTGAAAAATTGGTACCGCTTATGACGTGCACCTCTTTTTTTCTTCTGAAATTTGAGAAAAAAGGTGTGCTTGGTACTTGAGTAAATATGGTACTATCCCTTTTATGAAATGCCTCAGCATTTCCAATTCTAAAAACTACTGTGCAAGATGGTTATAATTTTTGAGTCAGCCAATTTCTTTGTTTTTATTCCATTTCTTTCCTTTATATAACAAACTATTTGCTGAAAAACAGGAAAGGCATTTTTGTATGAGGCACAAACAATAAAACTCGATTTCCATGACTCAAAAAAATCATTATACTGTAAATGATCATCTATAAATTAATGAAACCTCATCTGCTCAATATGAATGAGTAAAAATTGTACCACAGTGTATATACTGCAGTGGGATATTATTTGTCAAACAAACACAGTTTTCAGTATGTCATCCATCATTAGCTGGAAGGTTTGTTTCTTGATTCAAGTACAGTAATGCGAATCCATTCTTTTTTTTTCGGTGACATTTTAATCTACTGCTGATGTGGTCTCACTGCAGTTTATGTAAAAATGTTTTTAAAAATGATTGCTGGAATTTAAAACGAACATGCCGTGCGGATATTTTGGATTCAAATCCCCATGAAATCCAAAATTAAAAATAATTTTTCGGCACTAATATCCGCAGGAATATTCAACTGTGAAGCTGGCGGTGTTTTTGGACTCCCACAGTTGCAGTGGCACCCGTACATCATGCAGCAATCAACAACCCCTCCAAAGAAAACAAAAAGACATTTCAACCCGCAATTTACCCCCTCCCCCCCCCCCTAACCCCGTAAATTCTCCTACGGAAATTGGGTTCACAGTTGCCAACTGTGGTATTACAAACGCGGTGGTGGTGTTGGCACCTCCATTTCGGAAAAGAAGACAAATACTGTACAAGAAAAAAAAAAGTTTTCAAAAAAAAAATATATATTCTGTATATATAAATTTGGTGGTGGTTGTGATGATGATGACGACGACGATGATGGGAACTATACACGCGTGAAACGGCGCCGCGGGGGTGCTGAGGGAACCGACACCCGATTCCACTTTTTCATGTTAACGTAAACAAGTGATGCGAGAGACGGAGCAGCAGGCAGCTTATATAGGACTGACTCGAGGAGGAGCAGCAACGGCGGCAGCAGCGGCGGCGGTGGCGGCGACGACGACGACGACGACGCCTGATGCGGCGGCGATGATCAGCATGACTATACAGTATATACAGTATATGTCCGTTATAATGACGAGAATTGCGAGAGAGAGAGGGGGGATATAAGTCTTTTCTTTTTTTTTATTCAAAAGAAGAGGGAGGGAGGGTGCAGAATGTTTCTGGCAAACGTCAGCTAATCCCTGCCATGTTTACGCCTGTTGTTCCGTTGTTTACGCGGCGGATGTGTCGTCCCCCCTTTTATAAGTTATGTAAAAACAAAATGGAAAAAATCGAGTCTTGTTCTTTCTTTCTTTCTTCCTGCTGCTGCTAAGAAGGAAGGAAAGAAGAAGAAGAAGCAGGAAGGTGCTGTGCTGCCTTGTTTATTCAGCCAGATGGAGTAGGTTCCCTTTCCAGCATATTATTGGTGTGTGAGTGTGACTTGGGGTTTCTTTCTTTCTTTCTTTATTTATTTATTTTCTTTCGTGTGGGTGCTGCTGAGGCCGGATGATCAATCGATGATGATGATGATCAGCAACAGCAATTTTAATGTGTATGAGTAAACGAAGGTCCCTTTTATCATCAAACCCTGTATCTCTGACAATATGCATATATGCAGTAAATTTCTCTCCGTTGTTTTCAGATAATTTTAATCTACAGTATAGTTCATCAAGCGTCTCTTCCTCTTGCTTAATACGTACATGGGGAGAGAATTGGAAAAGGGGGGGGGGGGAGGGGGAAGGAGGCAAGACATACTGTAGACTACAGTCGGAATATATAGTGGGAGGGAGGGAGGGAGGGAGAGAGGTCGTCCCTCCCTGGCACACGAGCAATGCAAATTTTTTTTTGGCGGTGTTGGCGGCAGTCGGTGGTGAGTCGCCTTGCGGGACGGACGCCCCTCTGTGCTCCGTCATGTATGTACAAGTCTGCTGATTTTTTATTATGATTATTAGAGTATAATAATAATTATTATTATTAGCCCTGCATGGGTGTATGTGCGCTTTTTTTCTTGTTTTCCTTGTTGTTGAGAAGATTAAACCATGAATTAAATCATTTTCAATTGTGCCAGGGACCTTGAAAAAGAATAATAATAACAATGAGAATCATGAAAAAAATTTAATTACAAAAAAGAGGAATCAATGAAAAAAATTCCAGTGCAGTAGTAGAGAAAGGTGACTGGCATAAATACATTTTTTCCATGCATTATTTTTTTCCATATACATGCAATGATATTTACATATGAAATAATCTGGAATATTGCTTATTTAGGGCACTAATATAAGGGTGATATAATGTTTTTGTGAATATATGCAGGTGATACCTTGCAATTTGACCCTAATCTGTTGCTATGGACTATTGTTGAATTGCAAGACACTTCCTAAAATTAAGAAATATGTGAGAACAAAAATGCAAAAATAAATTGGTCAAAGCATCAGGTCTAATTGCGAGTCAACCTCCTTACAAATTTGACTGCCAAATAGTGGGAATGGTCAAGTTGTGAGGTACCACCTGCATATATATTCATTTTTTATTTTTATTTTTTTTAATGCAATACTGTATTTCATTGTGATTCTGGTGTGCATTTTTTACATGTAATTTTTTGTGAGTGTGTGTTTCGCAGGTGTAATTATGCGCGTTTCTTTTTTATATTTCTTGAAACATATACACTTTTATACAAAATAACATCCGAGTGTCAATATTACTTGTATTAGAATCAGAACAAAGACGAACATTCAAAAATCTGGGTTTATCATATAAAGAAGGAAAGTGTGCATGCTTTGATTTTTTTTCTTCCAAAAACTATTTACATAGAAAGTGGAAAATTTTTTTCGATGGAAAAATTAGTGGTGTTTCCGCAGTAATTTAAAATCTTGCTCTGAAAAACGAAATATTTGCGAGACAAATATTTCTCAGGAACGGATATCAAGCTTGTTTTGCAAGGAAACCCATTGTAAATTTGCTTTCCGAGGTTTCAATTCGTTGATTAACGAGTGCTGATCCGCCCAACCAAAGTTAAATTTTTTGCTCGGCTTGAACTTTACTGTTTTTAATAATTTGGCAGTAGATAGTAAACTGCAATAATGCAGCAGCGTACGACTGTACTATATAGCCAACAATTCGGAATTGTCCTAAATAAATCCCCTCGTTTTATATCGTTGATCCCTTGATTGCCATTCTCTCGAAAATAATGCTCATCCCTTTATTAAATTTTCTGAAGTTGCACATTTTGAATCCAATATAGTTTTGACATTCACCGTCAGCACTAACTCATATTATTCTAGAACCCGCAATGTTTTCTCTCGGCGTCATTCTTTTTTTATTTTTTGCTGATTGACACGCTTTATTTCGAATGCTAATTGGTGCATATAGGTGACGAAAAATAAAAGGAGTTGTCCCGCGGGTGAGAAAGTGTCATGGCGGCGTCGTCGTCATGGACGCTGCTGATGCTGGTGACGCTCTGTGCAACGACGCTGCCATTTTGGCCCCTGGTCGACTCTGCTGCCGTGAGTGCCACAATAATATAACCGCAAGCAGCGACAAAAAAGCATTTAAAGTGAATCCTAAATCATCGTCTCATTATTTGAAATCTCAAGCATTATCTTTGTAGATTCCAGGAGGCAATACAGTATTTTAAATTTCAAAGTGACTTGATTAAATCGGGATGTTACGATATTTTATGCGTAACCATGATGCTGCAGATCGATGCAGGCGACATCTAGATACAAAAGTAGGTAAAAACTCGGCGTTTTAAACATCCGACGCTTGATGTCGACAGCTGGCATATGGAAAAATTGAAGTTCTCTCTCGGTACTTGCTTTGGATTCCTTGTTGATGTTGATCAAGGGATGATTTCCATCAATAACCCTCGTGTTTTTTTTCAATTATTATTTTTGTGTCTTTAAAAAATAAAAGCTGTAATGATATAGCTTAAGTCATATTCACGGTCTGTTTTGTTTTTATTGATTGCGCTTGTGCGTTTGAAACCTGGAATACATGCAGCACATAAATTACGTTTGTCTTTATTTATATTTTTGGCAGACGTGTCGTGGATGCAAGCCGCCGTGTCTGTGCGCAGGGAACCCTGGCCCACGAGGAGTGCCTGGCTGGCCCGGTCTGCCCGGCCCTCAGGGCGTACCCGGCGACATGGGGGTCGAGGGGTTGCAGGGCATGAGAGGACCCAGGGGTGACTTCGGCTCCTCTGGACTCGAGGGCGAGAAGGGCTACAGGGTCAGGGGTTCCATCTTTGTTGCCTAATTATTCTTAATACTATCGTGAAATGATCATCTATTTTTTGAATTTTTTTTTGTGGAACAAACCCGAAAATAAATTGCAACAATTTTTTTTCTCCTTGCAGGGAGAAACTGGAGTGCCTGGGTTCAAGGGAACGTCTGGCATACCTGTGAGTATATGAGTAGTTAGTATAGGAGTACAGTAGTGTAGTTTGAGTGCCCTTTAAATGGTTCCGAATCACTTGAAGAAATCATTCAAATCTAGAAAATTTTCCGCTCTTTTCTACATGGTGTAGTGTCAATAATAAGAAATTCCCCCCAAAAATATATTGAAGAATCGAATCATCGTGACTGAAGAATCTTTAAAGGCTCGTCATTTCTTGTGTAAATTTTCCATTGAATTCTTCAAGAGGATTCAAAGAATTTTTTTGTTTTGGTAAATGTTGGAAAATAGATTTTTCAGATTGCTTTGGTGCAAGTAATTCTGCTGATCTAAATTTTTAGTAGGAGATTTTGAAGTCTTCTAAAACGGTTTAATGTAGGAAAGTCATGAACAAAGAACAGACTCGAATAAAATCAATTTACTTTAATTTATTCATTTTACTCAAAGAAACCAAATTCCATTTTAATCTCATCAGGGTCAACCAGGGCTTGAGGGCCCCGTGGGTCCATCAGGGATCCCTGGCTGCAATGGCACGGATGGACAAAGAGGCAGGCCCGGGCCACCGGGGACAGAGGGGCCCAGAGGCAGACCAGGGGGACCTGGCCCACTCGGGCCAGTAGGTGACCCCGGAGACGGAGGAGTCAACACTGTGGGCTTCAAAGGGGACAGAGGCGACTCTGGGATTCAAGGCAGACCTGTGAGAGAAATACACATTTTGAAAATGAATGTATCACACTTGTAAATTTGAAAATCTGTTTTCTTTTTTATTCAGGGTGTTATTGGTTATCCTGGATTGCCTGGATTCAAAGGATTCGAGGGAGACCCAGGTCCAAGAGTATGAAACCATCTTTGCCGATAACAAAATGAATTGATCCTTATTTCAGATGTGTGTGCCCGTTTGTTTCATGAATTCTACAGGGACCCCTGGGACCAGTTGGCCCACCTGGCCTAAGAGGAGACCCGGGAGAAGGCAAAAGTGGGGACACAGGCCCTAGGGGCGACCCAGGTGACCCAGGGGAAAGAGGACCCCCTGGCCCAGTGCTGCCTTCAAAGATTCCTTCAACAATCACAGTCAGGAAAGGAAACAAGGGTATCAAGGGGTTGCCTGGGGACCTTGGGTCAGTTGGCCCACTTGGCCCAACTGGGAATTCTGGCAAGCCTGTGAGCATATACTGCTGTCTTATTGACTAACTAACATGAAATTATAAACATTCAAGTAAAATGGACAAGATACCGTATTTACTCAAGTACCACGCGCACCTTTTTTCTCAAATTTCAGAAGAAAAAAAGGGGTGTGCATCATAAGCAGGTACAAGATTTTCAAGAAGTTT